ATCTAAGCCAAATTCTATTGCTATATCTCTGCCAAGACATGGTATTTGTCAATGACTGTATTTCAATTTCTGATTTTTAAAAAATCATCATTATTATTTAAATGTCTATGCCATCTGACTCTTGGAGACTCTGGGTGTTTTACAAATCATTTCAAACATTATAAACAAGACACTGAAAGTGACAAGAAACAAAACAAAAGGCAAAGAAAAGCAAGTTGAAAGGAGGCCTCAGTCACCCTGACCAAAGGTCTGGGCAGAGTCATAAACACACTTTCCTGACTAAAATGTGGAGCTTTAGGTCAAATTTCTACTTTCAGTTTGTCCCATCATTGTATGGACGATCCACCTTTTGTTTAAAGGAAGAGTGAATCTACCTAAAGTGGGTTAGGTATCCAGACTTGTCTTCTCTGGACACGAAGCAGCCACAACAGAGGTGGTATTCAGCAGGTTCTGACCAGTTCTGGAGAACCGGTAGCGGAAATTTTGAGTAGTTCAGAGAACCAGCAAATACCACCTCTGATTGGAGATTTTACAGTATCCTTCCTCTGCCACACTCACCAAGCTACACCCACAGAACCAGTTTAAAAAAAAATTGAATCCCACCACTGAGCCACAATGCCAAACCATTGGAATTTTTAAAGGAGCTGCTAGAAGCAGCATGAGAAATGAACAATTTACACGACTTGTGTAGAACTGTTTTTAATCTGTTTTGTTGACTATAACACGGAGGGGGGAGGGGTACAACAACTGTAGAAATACTCTTCTCAAATAATTTAGCATTTCATGAACTACAGCTAAGTAAGCAAATGGATCATTTTATTTATAAAAAGCAAGAAGGTAAAAAGAGCTCTTTGTGGAAAAGAAAGAACACAATGGCATTATAATGATAGTGTTTAGTTTGAAAATTAGTTTTGGAAGGAGTTGCCCTTAAGCACAAATGTTATAGTTGGCTTCTCACATGTTCTGAGGGCGATGTGTTGCTGTAAATATCTACCTTGAATGCAGCTTGCATAATCTCAGATATATTTGTTCAAAAAAAAAATCTACCCAGTCAATTGGGTATCTGGAAATAGTTATTCAATGTTTATCAATATGTGTTTTCTTTTAAAATGGGAAGATGCATTGCGACGTAGAATATCTCTTGCATGCTAACTCATATATCTTAATGGAAATTCATTCTGCTCTATTATTTCGCGACAAATAATGGACCGAATGTTTAATGGCGTTCAACCACTTATGAGTGGCACTGCTTTTTCTCTCTCCTGCTTGTGCATGCACATATGTGCATGCTCTCTCTCTCTCTTGCAAAATATAAGACAAGGCCAAAGCTTAAATTAAAATCCTCAGGTTCTTATCTCCTTCCCACAGGAAAGCAAATCTATGTTGAAAACCGTAAAATTAAGAGGAGAGGAAGGATAGCATAATTTAGCAAAAATCCATGAAGAAGATTCTGAGCTATATGACTGGAGGGATAGGTCAGACATTAAAATGATACTACTTGCTAATGCAAGTTCCTTAAGGTAGTGCTCTGGAAACAAGGGAAAGTATGCAAAGAAAAAGTAGCAGATTAAAAAAAATGTGGCATTTTTATACAGACATTGGTACTGTGTTTGAAATATGGTTTATCATACAAACAATATATGATTTAAATAATGTCAGTGAAAAGAAATATATTTTTAGTTTCCACTATTTTATGAGTGGAAATTTAATGAGCAATATCTGCATTTTGGAATGAATTTCTCTTCACTTCCCAGAAGCCTATCCAACATGAATGTGTATTTGTGATTATTTCAAAGAATGCTGAAAGGGTTTTTGCACACAGTGTTTTCAAATTATACTGAGATTTTTTTTTTCTTGAGTGCAGAAAAGGGAGAATGAACCAAAGAACATGATTTAATAATGCAAATGAGTCTGAGACATTTTTCATGTTTCGCATAGATGTATGTATGGAAAAAAAAGGGGGGATTACTGTGGTAACTCTAATACTTTTCAGCTTGAGGGGATCGTTGCACCCATCAACAGAATAGCTTGATTTCTTTCCATGCTTCAGAGAAGACTTCCTTTACCTTGACTATTGAATTCCATTTTGTAGCAAGAGCATTGCTTCTCTTATAAGGAAGACAGAAAACACTATGCAACTGATAACACCCCAATTGCTAAAAGCTAAGTAGGGTCAGATCAGGTTTGTATTTGGATGTAAGACCTAGGGCTGCAGACTAGAAGTTGGAAAGAATTGTAAAAATAAATAAATTGCAAAAGCATTTTTTTCATCATTAAAACTGCAAAGAACACTGCTTGTTGTGGTAGTTACTAAGAATCGAGCCCCATTTGAAAAAGTCTCTACCTAGCTGTGATCCACGGATCTTTATAGCACATTTGTTTTATTAAATATGAGGCCAAATAAGTTGTTTGATCTTAGCATCAGACCTCTGTGATTCAGCATTGGTAGTATTAGACTGCAGTCCTATACTTACATGCTCACAAGTGTTTGTATTTAGGCAGGACAGGAATGTCTAAAACAGGAGCCTTTAAGGCAAGGGTGTTAAACTCAAGGCCCATGGGCCGAATCCGGCCCGCAAGGTTCTTAGATCTGGCCTGCGTGGCTGCCCTGGAAACAGTGAAGGACTGGCCTGTGGTACCTCTGCCAGTGAAAATGGAGCTCGAAAAGGCCACACATTGCCCTCCCAGGCTCCGTTTTCAGCTGCAACAGCCTCCTGCAGCCCTCTGTCAGCAAAAACGAAAGCCGGGATGGTCGTGTGCAGCCCTCCTGGGCTCCATTTTCACTGGCAGAGGGCTGCAGGATGTTGAGCTGACCATGCCCACCCTGACCATGCCCACCCCAGCCATGCCCGCTTCACGCCCCCCCCAACAACCCTATATTACGGCCCTCAATGAAATTGAGTTTGACACCCCTGCTTTAAGATCTGATTGTTTTGTTTAAAATAATAAAAAATAGCTTGGTGTGCTGTGAAGGAAAGTCTTTGGTACGATATTGTCTAGAATGTCTTTTAATCCCTTTAGCAACCTTGTAGAGAATGAGAGGAGTGGATGGGTTGACTCTTAATATTTTGTTTAGAAATATTCCCATCTGCCCAGTACAACTCATCAAGGTAGGATTAGGTGAAGTTACAAAATATTCTCAGACTTCTGGTAAATTAGCATTTTGTGGCCATACGTACTATAACGATCAATATTTGTAGCGGTTGCAGTGATAAAGGTTTTTATGGGTAGTTTCTAACCTTTTGTAATTATTACTCCATGTTAGCTCTACAATGCATTATGGCTAGCCAAATTTTTATATTCTCCTACCTGATTTTTGATGGGTCATGGTGGCTCAGTGGCTAAGACACTGAGCTTTTCTGTCAGAAAGGTCAGCAGTTTGGTGGTTCGAATCCCTAGCACCGCGTAATTGAGTGAGCTCCCATTATTGTCCCAGCTTCTGCCAACCTAGCAGTTTGAAAGCATGTAAAAAGTAGAGAAACCACTTCCGTGGGAAAGTAACAGCGTTCTGTGCGCTTTTGGTGTTTAGTCATGTGGCCATATGACCACAGATACATCTTCGGAGGCTTTGTAACGGAGATGAGCACTGCCCCAGAGCTTGAAACGACTAGAACGTATGTACGAGAGGAACCTTTACCTGATTTTTGCTGTATGAAATGAGTAACAAAATGAAGTGTCTGCCAATCCCTGGCTGCTTATTATGCAGATAGTGGGTAGGATGGTGTGGAGGACTAATATTTGATCAATGGCTATTGTTTTGAATTAGACAGGGTGGTTGAGTTCACCCATTGTCCTGAACCTAGCTTTATTTGATTTTACTTTCACATGTCTTATATACCCAGTCATTTTATTATTCATGATACTGGCTTGATAGTCTGGGTAAATCCAGTTTTTGTGGCTTATTCAACAAACCATTATTTAAATCTCCACTTATTGTGAGAGTTAGCATGTGTTGAGTACAGGTAGTCCTCAATTTACAACAGTTCACTTAGTGACCATTCGAAGTTACAACGGTACTGAAAAAAGTGCATTATGACCATTTTTCACAGTTATGATCGTTACAGTGTGCCATGGTCATGTGATTTACATTTGGATGCTTGACAGCTGACTCACATTTATGACAGTTGCAGTGTCCCAGGGTCATGTGATCACCCTTTGTGACCTTCTGACAAACAAGATCAATGGGGAAAACAGATTCATTTAACAACCGTGTTACTGATTTAACTGCAGTGATTCACTTAACAATCGTGGCAAAAAAAATGCAAAATGGAATAAAACCTGGTTGACAAATTTCTCACTTAGCAAAATAAATGTTGGGCTTGGTTGTGATCGTAAGTTGACCTGTACTGATGTTTGTGCAACCGAGTTAAATTGTCCCCAGTGTATCTTATTGTTGATGCACTGTTTTTATCAGGCCTATCAGTTTAATCACTTAGTAAGACCACACCTACAGTTCTGCATCCAGTTTTATTCACCACATTATAAAAAAGATGTTGAGACTCTAGAAAAAGTACAGAGAAGAGCAACCAGGATGATTAGGGGACTGGAGACTAAAACAAACAACGAACGGTTGCAGGAATTGGGCTTGAAGAGAAGGACCAGGAGAGACATGATAGTGGTCTTCCAATATTTGAGGGGCTGCCACAGAGAGGAGGGGGTCAAGCTATTTTCTAAAGCACCTGTAGGCCAGATAAGGAATAATGGATGGAAATTGAACAAGGAGAGTTTTAACCTGGAAATAAGGAGAAACTTTCTGACAGTGAGAACAATCAACCAATGGAACAGCTTGCCCTCGGAAGTTGTGGGGGCACCATCAGTTGAGACTTTCAAGAAGAGATTGGACTGCCATTTGTCAGAAATGGTGTAGGGTCTCCTGCTTGGGTTGGGGGTTGGACTAGATGACCTACAAGGTCCCTTCCAACTCTGATTATCTGTTATCTGTTTAAGAAAAAACAAGTGAAAGAAAGCAATGCTACTCAAGCCTTTCTTTTTGTTTGCAGTCCAACAAAGTCCCTGTGGTGCAACCTTCCCATGCAGTCCACCCTCTCACGCCACTCATCACCTACAGCGATGAACACTTTTCTCCAGGGACACACCCTTCACATCTCCCCTCAGATGTCAGCACAAAACAAGGTGAGCTAATCCTTCCATTTTTACAGCCTTTGAAAATCTTCTCTCGTGTTTTCTTTTGAGAGCCTCAGATGCTGAAAAAGGATGTTTTCATACTATGAGGGCGAAGGTTCCTTCTCCGAGCTTGTGGGTTGGATTCCAAACGTTTCGTTACCAGGCTAGGTAACAGCTTCAGCAGGGTTTAAGGGATTTTCATGCTATCTTATAGTACTGCTGCATTCAGGTACCTAGGATTTCCCTTTTTCCTGATTATCCCAGTCCTGATGTATTTGAAGCGGAACCCAGTTCTGAAATATCTCTGAGTTGCTGTTTTTGAAAATCTGGGTCCTGTTAAAGGAAAAGACAATGCTATTGTTGCTTTCTATTACTAGCCATATGATATATTAAAGATTAAAATAATCTTTCTTTAAAAGAATCCAAATTTCTTCCCTCTCATGTAATGTTATATTTGCAGTACAGGTGTTCCTCATTCAGCTACTATTGGGTGTGGTAACTTGGTTGTTGAGGGCAGCATGGTAGCTCAGCAAGTAAGATGCTATAATTGTTGGTTGGAAAGCTGGCAGCCTAGGTTCGAGAGCTGAGAGCCACATGGGATGAGCTCCTCCCCTCCCCTCAGCTTCTGCCAACCTAGCAACATGCAAATGAGAATAGGTAAATAGGTACCACTTCAGTGGGAAGGTAACAGCGCTCTGGGACATTATTGTCTTTGGACAGTGCTTGCTCAATGGCCTTGAAATGGAAATGAGCAGTGGCCCCTATAATTGGCAATAACTAGCAGAGTAAAATCCTTTAATCATTTACCTTTTTAAAAAAACTTGGTCATTATCCAAAGTGGTTGCAAAAGGAAACTCTGGCTGTTCTTAGGATTGTACCTCGGCTTTCTTTTGCTTTCCAGATACAAAGATCATAAGGGCAAGGATTGGTCACAAAGTTTTTTTTTATCATTGTCATAACTGCAAATGGTCCCTAAATGAGGCAGTTGCTAAATTAGGACTAGATAGTTTCAATTTGCTCTCAGGCACTGTAGTAAGATTAACTCGATCAAATGTTTTTGAAAAGAATTGCCTAATTTATATTTTCTAATATATTTACATCAGTAAGTAGCCATTTGAATCATATCCAAAATTATATCAACTTCACATCTCTCTGGATAGCAGAATATGCCAACTGCCTATTGATGGCCAAAAACTTAATGGGTGTTTTTAGTCATCTTTGTGAAACACTGTTGGCTAAAATGAGAGACCATGCAGTGATCAATAATGATTTGTTTATCTTACTTCTCTTGCTTTGCAAACCTCATTCCAAGTGTAAAAGCTAGTTTCTCTGTTTAAGGTCATCTAATCATTGTGCTGTATCTTTGTAGATTTTATAATGTTTATAAAATAAAGTAGAATGAGTGGTATGGTGGCCTAGAGGTGGAGCTGTCGCCTCACAATCAGGAGGCTGTGACTTTGATCCTAGGTAGGGGCAGGTATTTCTCTGATGAGAATATATCTGCTGAATATAACTCCGCATTGGCGACAGGAAGGGCATCTGGCCAGTAAACACTCAGCTCCATTCAGTTGCCCAGACTCCATCCCGCAAGGGATTATGGGGTCATTAATTGAAGATGATGGTATAAAGCAGAACCCTCCAGTGTAGTATATACAGGTGAAACTCGAAAAATTAGAATATCGTGCAAAAGTTCATTTATTTCAGTAATGCAACTTAAAAGGTGAAACTAATATATGAGATAGACTCATTACATGCAAAGCAAGGTAGTTCAAGCCGTGATTTGCCATAATTGAGATGATTATGGCTTACAGCTCATGAAAACCCCAAATCTACAATCTCAGAAAATAAGAATATTGTGAAAAGGTTCAATATTCTAGGCTCAAAGTGTCCCACACTACTCAGCTAATCAAGCCATAACACCGGCAAAGGGTTCCTGAGCCTTTAAATGGTCTCTCAGTCAGGTTCAGTAGGAATCACAATCATGGGAAAGACTGCTGACCTGACAGTTGTGCAGAAAACCATCATTGACACCCTCCATAAGCAGGGAAATCCTCAAAAGGTAATTGCAAAAGAAGTTGGATGTTCCCAAAGTGCTGTATTAATAGAAAGTTATGTGGAAGGGAAAAGTGTGGAAGAAAAAGGTGCACAAGCAGCAGGATGACTGCAGCCTGGAGAGGATTGTCAGGAAAAGGCCATTCAAAAAAGTGTTGGGGACTTTCACAAGGAGTGGACTGAGGCTGGAGTCAGTGCATCAAGAGCCACCACACACAGACGGATCCTGGACATGGGCTTCAAATGTCATATTCCTCTTGTCAAGCCACTCCTGAACAACAAACAATGTCAGAAGCGTCTTACCTGGGCTAAAGAAAAACAGAACTGGTCTGTTGCTCAGTGGTCCAAAGACCTCTTTTCTGATGAGAGCAACTTTTGCATCTCATTTGGAAACCAAGGACCCAGACTCTGGAGGAAGAATGGAGAGGCACACACTGCAAGATGCTTGAAGTCCAGTGTGAAGTTTCCACAGTCTGTGTTGATTTGGGAAACCATGTCATCTGCTGGTGTTGGTCCACTGTGCTTCATTAAGTCCATTAAATCAACCCAGCCGTCTACCAGGAGATTTTGGAGCACTTCATGCTTCCTTCCACAGATGAGCTTTATGGGGATGCTGACTTCATTTTCCAGCAGGACTTGGCACCTGCCCACACTGCCAAAAGCACCAAAACCTGGTTCAATGACTGTGGGATTACTGTGCTTGATTGGCCAGCAAACTCGCCTGACCTGAACCCCATAAAGAATCTATGGGGCATTGCCAAGAGAAAGATGAGTGACATGAGACCGAACAATTGCTATTGAAGCATCCTGGTTTCCCTAACACCTCAGCAGTGCCACAGGCTGATAGCTACCATGCCATGCCGCATTGAGGCAGTAATTGCTGCAAAAGAGGCCCAAACCAAGTACTGAGTACATATGCATGCTTATACTTTTCAGAGGTCCGATATTGTTTTATGTACAATCCTTGTTTTATTGATTGCATGTAATATTCTAATTTTGTGAGATTGTGGATTTGGGGTTTTCATGAGCTCTAAGCCATAATCATCACAATTATGACAACTCACGGCTTGAACTATCTTGCTTTGCATGTAATGAGTCTATCTTATATATTAGTTTCACCTTTTAAGTTGCATTATTGAAATAAATGAACTTTTGCACGATATTCTAATTTTTTGAGTTTCACCTGTATCATAATCTAAAAACAATGCCTCAATTTTTTCTATATTTCTTAATCAGGCCATCACTGCAGGAATAATTTGCCAGTTTTTTTTTTAATGGGTGTCCTATGTTCTTATCTCTGTATTTAACTCCTACATTTCACTTCCTTCTAATTTATTCCATCCATGAACAAACCATAAATGCTAATGCTTCATATATTTGAAGAGACATACCTTGATCAAAAGAAGTTGATGCCCCAATAATGTAGACTTTAAAATAACAGAAGCCTGTATTTTTCCTGTAACATTACTACCTCTCTGGAAACTGAAAGAGAAAGATGATATCGTTTAAAGTAAATATTGTCAGTTATATAAAACGTGATGGTTTTATAATTGTAAGCGTGTACAAACTAGTGCGCAATTTTTCACCATTTTACCACTGTCTGTCCACTGCAGGATGAAGGCCTCTTCTGCATGTTTCCAGCCAATACAGTCCTGAGCTTTCTTTGTTGGGCCTACAATACTTCCTGATGTTGTTGATCCATCTTGTTTTATGCTTCTTTCATGGATGCTTTTTACCAAGTGGGATCCATTCTATGACTACCTTGGTCTACCTGCCATCAGTTCTTCTTGCTCTGTGACCAGCCCGTTTCCAATTCAATTCTTTTACTTTCTTGATGACATCATATACTTTTGTTTGTTCTCTAATCCATGTGCAGGTCTTTCTATCTTGTCTTGTAATGCTGAGCATGTATCTTCCCATGGCTCTTGGTGCCCCTCTCCCCCAGCTTTTGTATCAATTGTGAGGTTAGTACAGTGGTGGGGTTCAATTTTTTTTACTACCGGTTCTATGGGCATGGCTTGGTGGGCGTGGCAGGGGAAGGATACTGTAAAATCTCCAGTCAGAGGTGATATTTACTGGTTGCCGGTTCTCCAAACTACTCAAAATTTCCACTAACGGTTCTCCAGAACTGGTCAGAATCGGCTGAATACCACCTCTGGGTTAGTGTCCATGTTTCACCAGCATATGTTAGAACAGGTAATACACACTGATCAAAAACTTTTTTTCTTCAGGCATAGGGGGAGATTTTTCTTGAAAATTATGCTTAGCTTGCCGAATGACTACCTACCACATTTAACATGTCATTCGATTTCCGTTATTGTATCACTTTCCATTGATTGGCCAAGTTATATGTAGTAGTCTACTACATCTAGTTCTTCTCCAGATATAAATTTCCTTTTTATCTTTGGTGAATTTATTAAACATAACCTGGCTCTTTTTCAGGTTTATTTTTAAGCCAAATGGTGTTCCTGCTTTGTGCAGCTCTTTGTAGCTCTTCTGTGTCTTGTGAGAATAGAACAACATCTGCAAATCTTAAGTATTATTGAAATAAGTGCCATTGATTTTTATTCCATCTTTTTTGCTCGATCTAGTTTACAAAATACTTCTTTGAGGCAGGCTGAAAAAAGGATAGGTGTCATACACCTTGTTAGTGGTGGGATTCAAAACATTTTACTACCATATCTGTGGGCGTGGCATGGTGGGCGTGTCATGGCATGGCTTAGTAGGTGTGGCTTGGTGGGCGTGGCAGAGAAAGAATACTGTAAAATCTCCATTACCACCCCACTCCAGGGGAAGGATATTGTAAAATCTCCATTCCCTCCCTTCTCCTGGGGGAGAGTTAACACCGGTTCTCCCAACTACTCAAAATTTCCGCTACTGGTTCTCTAGAACTGGTCAGAATCTGCTGAATACCATCTCTGCACTTTGTTCTATATTGATTTCTACTTTAAAATCAT